GTTTTTTTTTTTTTTTTTTTTTAGTTAAGGAGCTTAACCTGTGAACTTTAGAACTTAGTTTATTTGAGACCTACTATGCACCACATGCTTTTCTAGGTACTAGAGATAGAGTAGTCAGCAAAATGGACAAAGGAGCTGGGCTTTGGTGCTACAGGTTACCGTGTAAGAGACACAGACCTACCACCTGGTTCTTATCTAGCAGCTTGGTCTGCACGATTTTAGCTATGTCACTTCTCCCATAGAGCTCTTGTTAGTTGTTTCATTTAAGGAGGAAATGGAGGATTGGGTTTAATCAGGCAGTTACTAATCTGTCGCTAGTGCCACAAAGAAAATTCATGATGGACGTAGGTTTGGGCTTAGAGAACCAGTGAAATCAGAGACAGCCATGTGACCCAACAGTCAATTCAAAAAATGAGATGTGGGAAAACCAAGAAAATGGCAAGTTGGGCATAGAAGAGAGAGAGCATTTATTATCTACTCAAATATTCAGTCTTAGGCTGCCCTCATGCAGAACTAGGTGAAGAAATGGAAGGTGTCCGTGCTTAATTTCAAGGCACAATTCCTATAATTAAGGCTCGATGTTAGCAGCAGAAAAATCATAGTAGTTCTGTCCCTGACTCATCTGCAAGGCAGCAGTTGAGGAGTGTTTGCTGACTTAGCTGCCCAGTGTTGGTTGCTGCCTGGTGCTGCCTGTTGGTTGGGGTGTCCAGAACCCCTGTAGGAGGGGTTAGAAGGAGGTCCATGCCAATTTTTGTAGAACCTTAGCTTCTTCCTCTGGAAGCACTTGCCTCCCTGGCTGCTTTTCACTCAGGCATGCCTGGGTTGGTGAATCTGTTTCCTCACCAAGAGGGTCTGATTTCCTCCTCCACATTGGCTCTGTGATTGGTTCAGAACGCTGGGCTGTCCTGTGTGTAGGAACTTGGTCACACACTTGCATGTACATGCTCAGAAATGCTTAAGCCACAATCACAGAGGCCAGACACCATTCAGATATGTGCCAAAGGGAGACAAAACCATGCCTAAATCTGCCCCTGGTAGTATTTTCTTTGCTTGTGAGTACATGTTGATTCTTTTAGACTTAGTTCAAGAGTCTTGCTTTCAGGAAGCCCTCCTCCTCTTCTATGAAATTTCCTAGATTAAAAAAAAAAAAAAAAGTATAGTTTTGAGACAGTTGAAGATTTACAAAGAAGTTATAAAAAAAAATACAAGGAATTCTTGAATATTCTTTGCCCAAATTCTCCCATTATTATCTTCCTATGAACTTTAGTACAAATATCAAAGTCAAGAAATCAACTGTATATAACTCTATCTATTCTGCAGGCCTTATTTTACCAGTTGTTCCACCAAAGCTCTTTCTCTGATCTAGGATCCAATCTAGGACCACATCTTGCATTTAGTTTTCAAGTCTCCTCAGGTTCCTTTAATCTGGAACTGTTTCTCCATCTTTCTTTGTCTTGATGTTTTTGAAGACTGCTAGCCAGTTTCCTGTAGAATTTGGGTTTGTTTGCCATTTCCTCATGGTTAACTTCAGAGTAGGCATTTGGATGAAAAGTGCCACAGACGCGATGTGATGTCTTGCCATAGTTCTTTTGTTATGCCTTTTGTTTTTAACTTCTAACGTTTTATTTTGAAATAGTGCTAGAGTCACAGAAATTGTAAAGTCTGTGCAGAGAAATTCCATGGACGCCTTGTGCAGTCTCCCCAGTGGTTATTAATGCATTTTATGTCATTTGTAATATCAAAATCTGGGAGTGGACATTGGTACGACATCTGTATATGATTCCGTGCCATTTTCTCACAGGCGTACATCAAGACATGGGCCAGGGCTATGTTGCACACATGACCACAGACATCTCCTTCTTGTTAAACCATTGAAGTCACATCATTCCCTCTGTGACTCCCTTCCCCTGGCAACCACTAATTTGTTCTCCATCTCTATAATTTATCATTCAGAAACTAGTATATAAGTAGACCCATACAGTATATAACCTTTTGAGATTGGCTTTTTTCACTCAGCACAATCCCCTTGAGACCCATCCAAGTTGTTGCATGTACCAGTAGTTTGCTCCTCCTTATAGTGGGTAGTATCAAATGGTATGGTGATGCCATTGTTTAACCATTCACTGGTTGAAGAACATTTGGACAGTTTCTAGCTTTTGACTGATATGAATAAAATTGCTATGAATATTTACGTAAAGGGTTTTGTGTGAACATAGGTTTTTCACTTCTCTAGATGATGTTTTGTCTTGTTTTTTTTTCTTTATTTTGAGAGAGAGAGATTTTTGCTATAGGGCTTACATACTCACTGGAGGTACAGAGGGAGACAGAGACAGAAAGTGAGAAATCACCCCCCACAGAGCAGATGGCAATGTCATAATTCCTTCTCCTCCATTCTCCTCTTGGGATTTTGGGCACACATGCAGGCACATGTCCTCAGTGTGAGTTTTAAGCCTCTCAGTCTGGGACTTGAACCATGCTCGACCACATGGGAGTCCAGTGATTCAACTACTATTCCACCTGTTGGACCCCTTGCTATTGTTTTGAATTATTGAGTTACTTTCTTCTCTCTTACTCTAGCTTTGGAAGGTAAGAAGCATGGCTTACATCCCTATTGTCTCATGGCTTGGAGCACATAGTAGGGGCTCTGTGGAATGGGTGAAAGAGCCACACAAAAATCCTAAACACTTAACATGAATGCATAGGATTTCTAATGATATATAGCTACGGATTTCCTCCAAAGAATGCAGATTGTCTTAATATGTTGCATACCATTGGATATGCAAGTACGTGTGTCATTTTACAGGAGTAATTATGCATACATGTACATTACGTAGTCCCAATGTCCTACCAGTGCACCTTTTGGGTAAATACATACTTACAGGAGATGTGGCATTGCTGATTAAGCCACAGGGGATAGGAGAGTTTGCTTTAGCAGTCCTGTGTTAGAGCAGCTTGTCCCGTGTCCCAGTACCCACATCCATGATGGTGTGGGGTAAGTTAGGATGGGCTGTTAGGGATTAGTGGTGCCTTCAAACAAAAGGGTAGGAGAAATATCAGTTTAGCTTCTTTCAGTCTTTGTGAAAATGTTACTTATTATTGGTATGCCTTCTTTGATAATTTTATATTCCACATTTTATTTGAAAATCATTTCTTGGGTTCTGCTGTTTAGTCTCCCCAAAAGATGAGTCTTTTGAGCACATACAAGGAACTTCAAAAAGTTTATAGAAAAATGGAATTAAAGTATAAGTTTATTTTGGTGCAAATTTTTTTCAAAATCCATGAGTAGTTATTTGAAAATAGGCATTTTCTCTGACTATTGAAATATACATATGAAATATGGGTTTCAAAAGTAAATATAAGAACAGGCAGGTGAGAGGCTGGGCCAGGTGTGGCAGAAGTGTTACCTGAGTCTTGAGCATCGTCTGGCTTGTACACTGTGCTGTAGTTACTACATGGTACCCCTAAGCCATGCAGTGCCAGTAGGTTTGTCCAGAAGCTCTAAGCTAAGCATACTTGTCTTAATCATTGGCTCACTGGCCAAGTGTCACTGACTTATTCTTTAATTTTCTCCTACTCCCCTCCAATAGCTGATGACAGTTCGGACTATCACAGGAAATATCTACTATGCAAGGTCAGGGACGAAAATTATTGGGAAGGTTCACGAGAAGTTCACGTTGATTGATGGCATTCGAGTGGCAACAGGCTCCTACAGGTAAGTCGCCAACCCGTCCATTGCTCATTAATCTCAACCTTTCAGAAGAAGCATGTTACATAAAGGGAAAAGCTTCTTTTTTCCCCTCTCTGAGAGCCTTTATGGCCAGGCATTTTGCAGTGTGAGCATCTGTGTGTGTGTGTGTTGGAGATAATCAAGGAGGGGGTAGTCACTTCCCCTGCCCTGGGGCCTAGAATGAAAATGCCAAGGTTAAATTTGCTTACAGGGATTGGGGTAGTGGTTAAGGGTCCTGGATTCCCACATGGTTGATCACGGTTTGAGTCTTGGACCTGGTGGCTTGCTTTCTCACTTTCTCTCCCTCTCTCTCTCTCTCTCTGTCCCTCTCTGGTCAATTAGAACAAATAAATAAATAATAAATAAATAAAGTTAAATAAATATTTTTTAAAAATTGCTTCCAGACCACACAGTGAATAAGTCCTAGTTTCAAGCTTAGGTCCAGGCCTGCAGTGGATGAATTAGGGAGTGCTGGTGAAATATAGTTTTAAATTCTGGTTCTGTGGGGATCTGGACACCGTTTGCCCCACTGACTTGATGGTAAGGGCTGTTGTTGGCATCAGCACAAAGCCATCATTTTGATACTAAATCCTTCCCCTTGCTTCAAGCCTTGTGATTTAGTGCTTTAGTCTAGAAAGTACTGATCATGTTTCTGACCCCACCTTTGAAGTCTTACTTTGGCAGTGGTGGAGAGAAGGGAAGTTGAATAGAGGGTGGAGATAATGAGTGGGTAACACTAATCCCCAGTGGTTGTGCCATTCGTATTCATGTGGCTCCGATGGCTGTGTGTTTGCCACCTCTACCTCAGATTGTGTGATGGTATGCACGAGGTGTGTCTGTAGACTTTAAGAAAGAAAATCTCATTTCTGAAGAATCACGCATCCCTGAGCGATACATACGTGTCACCAAAAGCTTATAGAAGACGAATCAGTACGATGAATGCCTAGTATGACAGCAGCACACTGTCATTTCAAGCAGAGTATTGTCATTGTTCAGGACAAATTCTTACTTTTGCTTGAAACTTCCATTTGTAAGGAATTTATAAGTAATTGGAGAAACTAGATTTTGACCCAACATTGAATTATCTGTATTAATGAAACTTACCTCCAAGTGAGTTTTGGCTGTTCTAAAATACAAAAATTACCCTCGACAGATGAAATATATTACTATGGATGACAATGATAGCTTCCATGTGTTGAAGACTTTTTTAAAAAAATAATTATTTTATTTAACTTTATTTATTTTAATCTGACCAGAAAGGGACAGAGTGAGAGAGAGATAAAGAGGGAAAGTGAGATAGCAAGCTGCCAGGTCTTGGACTCGAACCGGTGTCCGTTACCACCACTCCACCTTCTGGCCCTTGACGACATTTTCTAAATCCTGTTCTCAGGTACTTTGTTTACTTTACTTCATGGAGAGTTTTTAAAAGAATCTCTTTCTCAGGCTGTGAAGGCAGTTCTAGGTGGAATTTTTATTAACCAGTATTCTTAGTAGTAAGAGACAGAGTTGGCATCATGTTTTCATAATCTCATTTAAAACACTCTACTCCGCACAAATTTCTATACCAATGGAGTGACTGCAGATGTCAGAAAATGGCCTCAAACTGCTTTATGCAAATGAAATTTACCAGCTAACAGAACTTGGAAATATAGAAAGATATAGCTGAGGGCCAGGAAGTGGCATGGTGCTTAAGGCACTGGACTTCCACATAGTGGACTACAGTTTGAGTCCCGGACCTGGTGACTTGAAACTCATGCCAGGCCCAAGTGCGTTCATACCCAGAATCCCGAGAGGAGAATGGAAGAAAAGGGATTGCGGTGTAGCCATCCCTCCTGGTGTGGGGGGTGTGATTTCTTGCTTTTTGTCTCTTATTGAAAAAAAAAAAGAAAAAGAAAGGTGTAGTTGGCTTTCACCTCCTCCTGACCTGGGGGCTGTACCTCTTTCAGAACACTGCTTCGTGGCTCTGTTTTTCTCTGGTTGATCTTTATTCTCAGACAGACTCTTCCTTTGAAGGCAGAAGTCCCAGCTTGCTTACATGGCCTTCAGTAAGGCTTCCTCTTAGCACTAATATCAACCCCCAAAATGTTACTGGCCCTGGTAGGGTCACATGGCCCCCACTGGATGAATCTCTGCAGCCAAAAAGACAGCATATTCTGGTTTGCTCGGGTTATATGCCCACCCCAACTGCAGCAAAGAAGGTGCAGTAATGAAAGCTTTGTCAGGAGTGGGTGGGCATGGCTTCTCTTATCAGAGGATGGGGAAGGGATGCCAGCCAGGAAGGGGCACATGGCCTTTGGTCAGCTCTAAATGTGTGGGATGTTTTTTATTTTATCTTTTTAAAGAATTATTTAATTAATTAATTTATTTAGTATTTTTTTCACATGAGTTTTGCCAGAGAGAAAGCAAGCCACCAGGTCTGAGACTTGAACCACAGTTGGTCATGTGGGAATTCTAGTGCCTTAACCACCATGCCACCTGCTGGCCTGTTTTTGTTTTTATTTTTAAGAGAGCTTTTTGCTATAGTGTGCGTGCACATGCTGGAGAGACAGAGACACAGAAAGTGAGAAATCACTTTCTGGCCACACCACAATCCCTTCTCCTCCATTCTCTTGTTGGTATCTTGGGCACGCATGCACACGTGCTTGGCATGAGTTTCAAGCTGCTGGGTCCAGGATTCAAACAAACAGTTGGCTACGTGGGAGTCTAGCAACATAACCATTACTGCATCTGCTGGTCCCTGGCTATAAATGTGTTTTAAGCAGTAGTATTATCATTCGACTAACAAACCATTTCCCTTTGTGGACAGGGCAGCACTGGAGTGCGTGGCAAGGAGCACAGCCCTGGAGATTCACCAGGGCGGGGACCTCTCTAGGGCCCACCAGCAGCTCTCTGCTGTGACATCTCCTGCCAGCTTTCTCACCTCTGAAATGAGGGTGCTGGCTTAGACATGTGAAAAGTCCTTTCTAGTTTTTACAAACTCTGAGGCTGACGATTATGCAGGTTTTAGTGTGTTGGCTAAACATTTGGCCTCTTTCATATTAACACATATACCCATGGTGTGTGTGTGTGTGTGTGTGTGTGTGTGTGGTTTGTATGTTAAGCCTAGTAAATTCACACTAAAGGGTAGGTGTAGTATCACCACAGTTGTGACTGTAACATGGCAGGGGATCTGGGCTGTTATTCAGACTGATGATAAGTAAGCTAAAATTCCTCATCCTTACAAGCCTCTGTTTATTTTTAATCCTTCAGTTTTACATGGACGGATGGCAAGTTAAACAGCAGCAACTTGGTAATTCTATCTGGCCAAGTGGTCGAACACTTTGATCTGGAGTTCCGAATCCTGTATGCCCAGTCAAAGCCCATCAGCTCCAAACTCCTGTCCAGCTTCCGGATCAGTGGCAAGTTTGATCACCTCGCCGACCGAAAACCTCAGTCCAAGGAGCTCACTCTGGGCAACCTCCTGCGGCTGCGGCTGGCCAGGCTCTCGAGCACCCCAAAGAAGACTGACGTGGATTCACAGGCACCCGCAGAGGGCAGGGCCGCGATCAGGCGCCGTGACTCAGAGTCCTCCACCATCAGTGAGGAGGACTACCTCCACAGCCACAAGGATGAACTCGAGGGCACAAAGGCCATCGACGTGGCCACTCAGACAGAGCCAGGAGAGGAGCAGCCAGCAGTGTTCCTGACCGAGGTGGGAACACAAACCAGCACCAGCACAGCCTGCGCCGGGACCCAAACTGCAGTCAGCACCAGGATAGCCAGCTCCCAAACCATGATTTGGTCCAAGTCGACCACCACCCAGACTGATGGGGATGAGAACTTTATCTTTTCTCAGGGAGCCCAGTCTAAAGAAGGGTCACCAGTATCCAAAATGTCTATCTCGAGATCTTCCAGTTTGAAGTCTTCCTCCTCTTTGTCCTCCCAAAGCTCCGTGGCAAGCTCTATTGGCTCCCACACTTCCATGAGAACGGCTGATTTCCACAACCCTGGCTATCCAAAGTACCTGAGCACCCCCCACTTGGATCTGTGCTTGAGAGACTCATTTAGAAACTTGAATAAGGAGCGGCAGTTTCACTTCTCTGGGATCAGGTCCCGGCTCAACCACATGCTGGGTATGCTCTCACAGAGAACATTCATTACTGAAAACTACCTAGGCTTTAACTCCGGGAATTTTACCAGAACGTCAGTTAATCTGCTTGCTATTCGAGATACAGCACTATATCCTTCTTATCAGTGACTGCTCAGTGTTTGGACTCCTGGCTTCCACCTGGTGAGCTGCAGAACATCCTCAGAGCTTCCTGATGTAAAAATTTTTCCATGTCTCTAGTTGCCTCTCTCACCTGACATTTGGTCACCTTGGCTGTCTTTGAATTCTGTAAGCTGAATATTATTTTTTATGCTTTTATCTTTGTCATGTATAAACCAGGTATTGGTTTTACGGTTTAAACACTATGGGTACAGGGTTTTTTTGCACAATTTAAATATCGGTATCTCTTAAAGAGAATGGTTAGGTGTTCTAAGGTGAATTCAGGTGAGACATAAGGTATGTTTTATTTTCTTGACTTACGCTCTTCTGTTTTAGAGGTGTGAGTTGCCAGTGAGTCTATGGTCAAAATCTTATTTAGGAAATCAAAACTATGTCTTAATTGTTTCTCTTTAGAATATCTTTGTTCTTGGCATTAAACGAATATAAAGAAATTTTGTTTGGTTGTTTGAGTACTTGTTTTTTTTCTCTGTCTCTTGCATTTTGCGCTTTCGCTTTAGGACTAGGTCACAAATAGATGTACTTCATAGATATCTGTGCAATTTTTTTTTATAGTTTGGGGGTGAAGAAGTAGATGATCCAACTTGTAAAAGGGAAAATCTATCTACTTAAATGTTAGCAGGCATAAAGCTAGCATCAGGACCTGTCTTCCCTCAGCATTATAAACATTGCCCTTATTCTATAGTTGAAGTGAGGAAATTTGCCAGAAATAGCAGGCCTTTGCATGTACTTTCGTTTTTTTCAAAGGAAAAGCCTGAGCTATTTCAACGAGGATCTTAGTTCCCTGCTTCTTTGCCAAAGGAGGCCTTAATGTACATTCTTAGATTTGTCCCCGATATTAACGTTAGTGGCCCCATGGGCCTAATTTCATCATATGGGTGTATCGACAATGATTTAGCAATCTAATATCCTGGAGTAGGGGCAAGAGAGGACACTGACAATTATCCCAGATCCTGGCCCAGTGGCAGGCCACGTGACTGGTTTCCCCACCCTGCTAATCAGGATTGTTATGGTTATGGAATCCTGTTTTTGTCAAAGTCTCAATCTCATGGGCAGACAAAAGAGAGAGAGTTAAAAGATGGTTTCCTCCTTCTCCTGACTAGGCTACAGCAAACAACATCTAAAATATGGAAGGGTGACTGCCACGTAGAATTGCTTTTTGTTTTTTTTTGGAGAGGTTTTTGCTATAGGACACGTATGCTTGCCAGAAAGACAGAGAGAGACAGAGACAGACAGAAAACAAGAAATCACCCCTCAGGGGAGATGGCCACGCTGCAATCCCTTCTCCTCCATTCTCCTCTCGGGATCTTGGGCACGCACACACACACGCCTGGCATGAGTTTAAGCCACCGGGTCCAGGACCCGAACAGTGGTCGACTACATGGGAGTCCAGTGACATAGCCATGTAGAATTCTGATGTGCCTGGATCATGAGCACTGCTGTAGGTTTTCGTGCACGTGCCGGGACTCCGTGTGATGACCAGGTTATTTGCTAGGTCCGTGCTATAATCTGAAGGCTGTGAAGCAGACGTAAGGCAACTGGTCCATGTCCACCTGGACTAAGCCTTAAACATACTGTTACTTTGTACCATGTCACAGATTTAGACCACTTTATATGTGGCATGTTTGATCGTCACAGCAATGAAGCAGAGAGCTACCTAGGTTACATAGGTGCTAATACCAATTTTCAGATAAAGACACAGGCTCAGATTAAGTAGTAATCAAGGTCACATTCCTTGTAAATGGTAACACAGAACTTAAACAGGTTTTTGGATTCTAAGTTCTGTATTCTGTTGAATGACTGTTTCTCTACATGGAGGATGGAGGCATTAAGCAAATGTACACTGAAAAATGGCAGTGAATGGAAAACATGAAAATATACCCTTATTAACCGATGTAGGGGTGCTAGTAGGTGGCATAGTGGTTACGTCACTGGACTCCCATGTGATCAAACATAATGTGAGTACCAGACCCAGTGCTTGAAATTCATGCTGGGCATGTGTGTGTGCATGCCCAAAATCCCAAGAGGAGAATGGAGAAGAAGGGACTGCAGAGTGGCCATGCCCCTTGCGGGGGGGGTGATTTCTCACTTTCTGTCTCTGTCTCTTCTCTGTCTCCAGCATCTGCACATGCCCTATAGCAAAAATCTCTCAAAAACAAAAAACAAAATAGAGGTACAAACCCTAATCAAATGGTAATACTATTTGAAATTTTAACTCAGTGTGATATGGAACAGTTAATGGAATTGCATAAAAACAGGCCATGTGCTTAGTTTGGGAAATGCTGGACCAAATACATTTCAACAGGGCTCTTCAGGACTACTCGACTTTTGAAATAATGATCACAAGAGTTTTTCAAAGCAGGGTAGGTATATCACTAATTTGCCTGACCACAGAATCCTTTTTATGGAGCAGGAATTAAAACCATTATTTTCTTGGGACCAGCAGTTAGCATAATGGCTATGTTGCTGGACTCCCATGTAGTCGACTGCGGTTTGAGTTCCGGACCCGGTCAGTGGCTTAAACTCACACCGGGCGTGTGTGTGTGCTTGCCCAAGATCCCAAGAGGAGAATGGAGGAGAAGGGATTGCGGCATGGCCTTCCTTCCTGGGGGGTGATTTTTTGCTTTTTGTCTCTCTGTCTCCCTCTGTCTTTTTGGAGAGAGCACACGCCCTATAGCAAAAACCTCTCCAAAAAAATTATAAAATAAGTAAAGCCATTCTTTTCTGAAAGTGTTGCTAACAATTAGAAATAAAGGCAGCAAATACATGGAATCCTAAGAAAATGGACTAATTTCTCGGAGTTAGCAAGCTTTTTCTGGAATGTGAGCCCAGAAAGTATCACTATAGGGCAGAGTTTCTCACAGTGAGATCTGAGGACCACCTGCTGTGGAGTCTGCAGGCGCTTTTTCAAAATAATTACTGGCTTCACTCCCAGGGGAGGGGAGAGAGGTGAGTATGGCAGCGTATTGAATTCAAAAATGCTTGTTCCCCTTCCTGGAAGAGAATTATATTTCTTTATCCTTCTGTTGTATTTCGGCATATGTCTCTGAAAGACAGTAGTTTCCCTTAAAAGAATCTTAATTACAATACCAAAATCACACTTAAACAAATTTGATGAAGATTTATTTTTCAGAGCAAGCAGATGGCATGGTGGTTAAGGCACTGGACTCCCACATGGATGACCACAGTTCAAATCCTGGACCTGGGTGGCTTGAAAATCATGCTGGGGGTGTGTGTGCCCCAAATCTCCAGGAGAATGGAGAAGAAGAGAATGTGGTGTGGCCGTCCCTCTGGGGGGTGATTTTTTCACTTTGCCTCTCTGTCTCTCTTTAGTGAGTGCACATGCCCTATGGCAAAAACGTAAAAATAAAGTTTATTTAAAAATTGCTTATAGGGCTTGTGTATTCACCAAAGAGACAGAGAGAGAAAGTGAGAAAGTACCCTTCAGGGACGATGGCCATATCACAATCCCTCCTCCATTCTTCTGTTGGGATTTTGGGTACATGCACATCTACCTGGCCTGCTTCACAAGCTGCCAAGTCCAGGACTAACTAACTGTTCAGTAGGTTGTGTGGATTCTAGCTACTTTAACCACCACTCCATGGGCTGGCCTGATAAAACATTTCTTAATAACACCAAATAAATATGTTCAAATTAAGTTGTCTCTTTTTTTTTTTTTTTCCTCCTCGACTGGATTAGAGATGTCTAGTTTTAAGATCAAGGCAGATCAATGCAGGGTTGATGTTCTTTTGTAAAACTTAAGGAATTGATTAAAGAGATGGCTGCCCCACCACTGTAGGCAGCTGGGCTGGGGAGTATGTAGCTTTTACTTATGTGACTTAAAGGACTAAGTAATCTAAGATACAAGTTCGTGTAGGTTAGAAGTTATAAGAAGGTGGGACCAGCAGATGGCATAATGGTTAAGTCACTGGACTCCCACAGAGTCCACCACAGTTCAAGTCCTGGACCCCAGGGCTTAAAACTCGTGCTGGGTACATGTGTATGCATGCCCCAAATCCTAAGAGGAGAACTGAGAAGAGATTGTGGTATGCCCTCCCTCCCCCCCGGGGGGGGTTGATTTCTCACTTTCTATCTCTCTGTCTCTCTGGCAAGTACATGTGCCCTATAGCAAGAATCATTCTTCAAAACAAAGTTACATGGGGCTGGCAAGTGGTGTGGTGGTTAAGAGCACTGGACTCCCACATGGCTGACTGTGGTTTGAGTCCCAGACCCAGTGACTTTCTTTCTCACTTTCCCTCTCTCTCTCTCTCTCTCTCTCTCTTTCTCTCTGTCTCTCTCTGGTCAAATTAAAATAAATAAAAAGTTACATGAAGGAAAGTGGGAGATACAACAAAGTCAGAAATGTGACTACAGGTGGGTGCCAAACTTTCTAGTAGCCAAGACAAAAACCTGGTCAGATACACCATTCACTATATCCTTTTTCTTTTTTTTCTTAGAATTATTCTATTTAACTTTTTTTTTAAATGATAATAAACAAGACATTTATTTTTCATACTCATTTGAGGGAAAGGAGGTCTGTCTGCCCCACCCAGTGGAGGTCTTTCTCAACAGATTCTCCGTTAATTCCATAGAATTAGATACGTTGCTTGATCTCAGATAATTTTGTATTCTTCATAAAATGAACTTCCTTTGAAGAGTGGTCAAAGGGTGAGTCTTTGTGAGCAGCTTCGCTGGTGCACAGCCAGACTTCCTCTCTGGGTGAAGCTTTTTCTACACTGGCCACACAGATAAGGTGTGAATTTTGCCACCCAGAACACAATTCCCCCTTCTGTCTCTTCCTGCACTGGCTACAGGCATATGGCTTCAGGCCTGTGTGGACTCTGATGTGAACAATTAAGCTTCCTGAAGGCTTTTCCACACTGATTACATCTATAGGGCTTCTCACCGCTGTGAACTCTGAACAGCAAGGTTACTTTGATTCCTGAAGCTCCTCTGACAAATAGCTCACTCGTAGGGTTTCTATCCAGTATGGAGTCTCCTATGGATGGCCAGACCACCTCACTGACTAAAGCTTTTTCCAGACTCCTTGCACTGAGATAGGACTTCTCTTTGCTGATGGGTAACAAGATTGCCTTTGGCCCTGAAGCTTTTTCCACAGTGGATGCACCCAAAAGGTTTTTGATCAGTGTGTATTCTTTCGTGTAATGTTAGACCGAAAAGGTAGTCAGCTTTTCGCCGGAAAGATTTTCCACATTCTTGGCATTCAGAGACCTTCTGTATTACTCCAGGTGTCTTAGAATCTGGGGATTTTTGTTCCAGCTTCTCTCTTCTGAAAGAATTCTGGAAATCCCGGCTTGAGGATCCTGTGGCCTTAGAATGATCATATTTGTGGTGGGCTTCTGTCATCACATCCACTGAAAAATGCTGCATCCTGGGCATATCTTCCATGACAGTCCAGCAAGGTGGCTGTTGGAAATCCAAACATCCTCTCCTGTTCTATGTCTTAGTCACAACCTCTTCATATGATTCTTCCACGGGCTGTTTCTGAGCACTGAAGTGGCGTGCACCCGCAGACACAAAAAAGCTCTATTTAACTTTATTTAAATTTGACAGGGGGGAGGGGTGGGGGGGGAGAGAACCCCAGCCACCAGATCTGGGACTCTTAACTGTGGTTGGCCATGTGAGAGTCTAATGCCCTTAACCAGTACGCCACCTGCTTCCCACTATATCCTTTTTATTTTTTTTAACTTTTTCCTTTTTCTTTTATTGTTTTATTTGGACCAGCAGGTGGTGTGGTGGTTAAGGCACTGGACACTTCCACATGACCAACCATGTTTCGGATTCTGGACCTGGTAGCTTGCTTTCTCACTTCCTCTCTCTCTCTCTGTGTGTGTCTCTCTCTGGTCAAATTAAAATAAATGAATGAATAATTTAACTTCATTCATTTACTTATTTAAATTTGAGCAGAGAGAGGGAGAGAGAGATGAAAAGTGAGAAAGCAAGTCATCTGGGACCCAAACCATGGTCGGCCATGCAAGTCCAGCGCCTTTAACTACCATGCCATCTGCCAGCCCCACTATATCCTTAAGATTAAAATAAATCCAGGTATGGGAAGAATAGTTATTCCTGGTTCTGACATAAGGTAAGAATTCATTAGGAGGGTCTTAAGAAAATGATGTGAGCATTCTGATAATCACATCCTGATGTTAAACAAGGACATATGCTGGAGCATGCTCAGAAACCTAACTTCACAAGGGCAGTTGAAGCTATCCCTGAGTTGAATGTACTCAGCTGTATTCTGTGAGCATGGAAAATGTACTTTGTGTTGCATATGCTCAGGTAAGTGTAAGGCTAGGTTTCACTGGAGCCACATACCCATGTTCCAGTTTGCTTGGCAGAGTTCCAGTTCTTGTCTCTTATCTCTAGGTTCCATCTGCCTAACACCCCATTTCATTCTCAAAAGTGTCCCAGTTTGAACAATAAGGTAGGTCACCCTCTCAAAAGCACCTGGACCCGAACTTGTCGCACTCCATACAATTGCATTGTCCTTTGGTAAGCGTGTTAGAGGCTCCTGCTTTCTAATCCTTTTCCTGTGGATTTCTCCTCAACTCTACCTAGATCCTTGGAGCTAAGTAAACACGTTTGTTTATGCACGTTAGCAAGTGAACCCGATCATTTGTGTGCAAGCCAACAAACCAGGCAGGTTTATGTATGTTACCAGTGGCAGAGAGTTGTACTTTACACTCAGTGGAAAATTCAATAAACAATTCTGCAAAGGACCATCTTTTTAGTTTGGGGGATGGCGCTCTGTGGTTTGGCTTGATGGAAGTGACTTAGGGTAGTTAGGATTTTCCTTAGAAAGCTAATGGTCCTAGTACATAGATACATGGATTGTAGTAATGGATCATCTATTTTTTGCTTCATTCATTCACTCATTCATTATGAGATTATCCTCTGATAATCTTACCTTCAGATTTCCCTCTGAGGAACTCTTCTGTTCCCTGCTCTCAGACCATGAGATTCTAGTGAAGCTGACCACCTCTGAGTCTAAGGAAGGGACACATATGTGACTTAAGCCTAAGGAATCAATATATCATATTCCCTAACTTCAGTGATTGTGATCGAGTCAGAGATGGATACACACTGAGAGTTGCAAGTACTTTTTCTTTTTTTAAGAATTATTTACTTATTATTAATTTTGCCACAGGATATGTGCACTCACCAGAAAGAGACAGAGAGAGAGAGAGAAAGCTAGCTACCAGGTTTGGGACTTGAACCACGGTCAGACATGTGAAGTACTTTTGCCAGGGAATTTTGGAAGGAAGTTTGATGCTTAAGAGGACATGGTACCTAGAGCTGAAAGGGCCACCCTATTACCAAGTCAGTAGGAGGTAGAACAATATGATCACAGCGTCCTGATTATGTTTTCAGCTGCAGCTGTGACCCAAGTAAGAAATATGCTTTTATTTAGTCTTTACTTTTTTAATTTATATGAGCCATTTTTAAATTTTTTAGAGATTTTTGCTATAAGGCGTTATGCTCACTGGAGATGGACAGAAAGTGAGAAATCATTCCCCCATGTGGCCATGCCACAATCCCTTCTCCATTCTCCTCTTCAGATTTTGGGCATGCACGCACATGTACCTGGCATGAGTTTTAAGTTTCTGGGTCTGGGATAGTTGCTGGGTCTGGGACTTAAACTGTGGTCAACTACATCCAGCTACTTAACCATTACTCCATCTGCTGGTCCCTATATGTGCCATTTTTGCTTAAATGTGGTTGGATTGAGTTTTCTATCACTTGTATTCTTAAGAGCCTTAACTAGCACAAAACTGAAAGCCCCTCATTCTTACCCTTCTTAAACATGGTCAATATGCTTGGTCTGGAAGTAATTCAAAACAAAGTGCTAGTTACCATAGGCATACAAAGACTTCTATAACGTGCTCAGAAACATGATTTTGAGAAACTCTTTCTGGAAAGCTTTGCTCATTTAGAAGTTGCAAATATACCTCTATATAACAAAATGATCAAGCTTTTATGAAATTGTTGGCAATGGAGTAAATTCTGGATGCCTACTCAAGAAATAATGGTCTTAATTTTAAAGTAGTTATTTTTAGTCCATTCTTTTTGCAAATAGCTAATTAAGACTGAAAGTCTACTGAGACCATTTCTAGTTTGTGACAACAAAACTGTATCAACAGGAAGGCTATATTACTAAGGTGTTTTCTCTAATAGAAATCTGTAAACAAAACATCCCACTGGGGACACTTGGACTTTGGGCCTTTCTAAGGCAGATGAACTAATTCTCATCTAGGAGAGCTTAGATGATGGTCTTAATTGGCCCATGCAGTTAAAAAAAAAAAAATCAAAATACTAGCCTGGGAATTAGAAAGCTTAAATTCTAGTTTCAGTTCTGAAACTTAATTAGCTCATTGATTCTGACCAAATCCTTTTAACCTCTGTGGATCTCAGTTTTCTACAAGACAAGGAATTTAGGCTAGATGCTGACTAAGGTCTCCTCTAGTTTTAAGATTATGATCCAAAAGTTTGGGCACAGCAGGGCACATCTACTGTGTTTGTAAATTAGTTGCCTACCTACAAAGTATTTTCTCCACTTGAGTTCACTAGCCCTCTTTCATTTTCCTTTGGATTAGTGATATGATTCTGTCTGTTGTCTTAACTGAACACTTCTGCTTCTGTGACCTGCTTGCAAGACAGGATGTAGCTCCTTGTAGGGGGATTTCTGAGAACTGGAGATAGGCTGACATGCTGTGATTTAAACACCTCACCAGTATGAACCAGTTCAAAAGATATCACCCTGGGCTGGGACTAGATGCCTTTATAACCCTGCACCCTTTCCCAAGTTGGGGCCCAGACTTTGGAGCATGAGTTCTGGGACCCCTGGTATAATAAACCTGAGTTTTCCTACTCTGAGTGGCGCCTGGTTTGTGTTTTGTGCTTCTACATTAGTGTAATCTTTCCCATGCTTGTTGAGCCTGAGGGTTCTGAAGCTTCTAAAATTGTAGGTTTTCAGGCCATGCCTGTGGAACTCCAGTGGTGATTGGATGGGTGCTTAGAACTGCCATTTTTGGCATGCATTTGGCTAGTGAAAATTTGGAGAGACACTGCGTTAGTACCCTAGCCCAACTGATACTAATTTCTGGTTTCTTCCAAGACATTTCTCCTCCATGTACACCCCGTCCCCACTCTGTGGCATGAGGTCCCAGACTTTCATACCAATTCTGCATTGTCTTACTATTTTTCATGACCGCGCCTTCATTCATTTACTTTTTATCCTTCTCCGTGTCCTTAAAAGGAAGGGGCTGAAACTGCATTACCTGGGCGCAGAATAGGCGCCCTACATTTACCGAATCATCAAACCCACCGGGTAGTTATCTTTCAATCTGAAAAAAAGCAGGGTAAGTATATATAGCACGGCTGGGACAGCTTGTGACTTAACATTCCGTTGTGAGTCCGAGAGCGCCCGCCGCCTCACGCCAGCGGTCCCCTCCCCAGGCCCGCCCTTTCGGGTGCGTGACCGTTCTTCTCGCCACTGCCCAGCTCGCTTCACAGCGCTCACCAGCTACACGAAAGAGGAAGGCAAAGCAGCAAGCCTACTCTTCCAATATGGCGGGGCGAGGTCACGTGGGCCTGAGCGCTGCCGGAGACGTGCCCGGTCACGTGGCAACGAGGGGCGTGGCGTGGGCGTGGCCACCACACCGCCGGATCCGCCTGAGCTGAGGCTCCTCGCGGGCCACGCCCCCGGGTCCTCCGGGGTCTTGCGCGCGGGGTGGAGCCTTCCTCGTGACCTTTCACCCCAGCATGGCTGCGCCCGTGAGACCAGTGAAGTTCTGGCGACCCGGTAAGGTCCTTGGCGCGACGCTGGACAGATGCCGTGGCCTGACTTTAGTCTTGGCTCTGCGGCCAGCGCCCCGGGGCCTGTGAACCTGCTGGCAGGCCTGACCTCGGCGGGCTGGGCACCGCCGCCTCTGGGCTGGTGGACACTGCGTCTCGGGCCCCCAGTGGTCCCGAGGGATTCGAGGGTCCACCCCCAGCGTGGCCAGAAACTTTGTATGACCTTGTTCGAGTCTCAGCCTCCTCGGGCCACATTTAATTCTCCCTGCCTACTCGGCAACATGGAAACCTAAATCGCCCACGCGTTCCTCCTTACCGCCCTGAGGCTACCTTGGGGCCTGACGGGCAGTGCTGCGTAAGGCTTAAGAGCCCAAGCTGTGGAGTGAGGCTGCCCGGGTTCGAATTTCCATCTCCGCCCTATAGTTGTAGGATGACCTTACCAAGTCACCTAACCCCTCAGAACCTTGGTCTTTTCACCTGTAAAATGGGCAGAATAATAAAAGGACCACAAACCTTTGTCTGGCTTAAGAGTAAGTGCTCATTAAGAAGTAAAGTAGATTGGGACCAGCAGTTGGCGTAATGGCTATGTCGCTGAACTCCCATGTAGTTGACTGTGGTTCAAGTCACGGACCCGGTGGCTTAAACTCACGCCGGGCGCGTGTGAGTGCGTACCCAATCTCGAGACGAGAATGGAGGAGAAGGGATTGTGGCGTGGCCATCCCCTCTCCCCCCACCCCCGGTGGGGGGGGTGATTTCTCACTTTCTATCTCTGTCTCTGTCTTTCTTGTGAGCTCATGCACAAAAACCTCTTTAAAAAAAAAAGGAAAGTGGATCAATGTCTTTTAGGGTAATAGGAAAGTGAACACCTTCATGTTGGCTGTCACCCAGCTCCTCTTTGGAAACTAAAAGGAGTCACAATCACGAAATACTTAACTTGTTTTGTTTTGGCATTTACTAGTTAGGTTTATTGTTGGATGTGTGTATACCAGACCATACTGGATACATTACCACCTCCTACATTTCTTTTTTTTTTTGGAGAGGTTTTTGCTATAGAGTATGTATGCTCGACAGAGAGACAGAAAGCTAGAAGTCACCCCTGGAGGGGGGATGGCCACACCACAATCCCTTCTCCATTCTCCTCTCCGGATCTTGGGCACGCATGCACATGCGTCCAGTGTGAGTTAAGTCACTGGGTCCAGGACTTGAACCATGGTCGACTACATGGGAGTCCAGTGACATAGCCATTACACCAACTGCTGGTCCTACTTCTCCGTTTCTTTTAAAAAGCTAGTTTGTCAGCAGTTCCTTTCCACTCCCCCTTTTCACCACCTGCACCCTTGCAGGTTTTTTTTTTGAGAGGTTTTTGCTATAGGACGCGTGCGCTCACCAGACAGACAGAGACAGAGAGATAGAAAGTGAGAAATCACCCCCGGGGTGATGGCCACGACGCAATCCCTACTCCTCCATTCTCCTCTTGGGGTCTTGAGCGTGCACGCCCACGTGCCCAGCGTGAGTTTAAGCCACCGGGTGTGGGACTCGAACCGCGATCCACTACGTGGGAGTCCAGCGACATAGCCATTATGCTAACTGCTGGTCCCAACCCCTGCAGGTTTTGAAGCAAAAATGAAACGAGACAGAAAAGATAATAAAACTTTTTTTCTTTAAACTTTATTCATTCATTCATTTTTATTTTGACGAGAGAGAGAGAGACAAACAGAGAGAGAGAGACAGAGAGAGAGAGAAAGTTGAGAAGGCAAGCCACCAGGTCCCGGACTGGAACCATGGTTGGTCATGTGGGAGCATCCAGCACCTTAACCACTGCTCCACCCTCTGGTCCCAAGAGAAAGCTCTTAAAGGGTGTTTTAGAGTTGTTCCCCTGAAGTCGGACTATAGGTATAAGTGATGTGAGAGATGTCAACCTGAAAGTGTAAATTCAAGTGTGTAAACCGAAAAGTTTATTTGGGCCAAGATTGAGCCGTGGCCAGCCCCTCTCCCCCCACCCCCGGTGGGGGGGGTGATTTCTCACTTTCTATCTCTGTCTCTGTCTTTCTTGTGAGCTCATGCACAAAAACCTCTTTAAAAAAAAAAGGAAAGTGGATCAATGTCTTTTAGGGTAATAGGAAAGTGAACACCTTCATGTTGGCTGTCACCCAGCTCCTCTTTGGAAACTAAAAGGAGTCACAATCACGAAATACTTAACTTGTTTTGTTTTGGCATTTACTAGTTAGGTTTATTGTTGGATGTGTGTATACCAGACCATACTGGATACATTACCACCTCCTACATTTCTTTTTTTTTTTGGAGAGGTTTTTGCTATAGAGTATGTATGCTCGACAGAGAGACAGAAAGCTAGAAGTCACCCCTGGAGGGGGGATGGCCACACCACAATCCCTTCTCCATTCTCCTCTCCGGATCTTGGGCACGCATGCACATGCGTCCAGTGTGAGTTAAGTCACTGGGTCCAGGACTTGAACCATGGTCGACTACATGGGAGTCCAGTGACATAGCCATTACACCAACTGCTGGTCCTACTTCTCCGTTTCTTTTAAAAAGCTAGTTTGTCAGCAGTTCCTTTCCACTCCCCCTTTTCACCACCTGCACCCTTGCAGGTTTTTTTTTTGAGAGGTTTTTGCTATAGGACGCGTGCGCTCACCAGACAGACAGAGACAGAGAGATAGAAAGTGAGAAATCACCCCCGGGGTGATGGCCACGAGGCAATCCCTACTCCTCCCTTCTACTCTTGGGGTCTTGAGCGTGCACGCCCACGTGCCCAGCGTGAGTTTAAGCCACCGGGTGTGGGACTCGAACCGCGATCCACTACGTGGGAGTCCAGCGACATAGCCATTATGCTAACTGCTGGTCCCAACCCCTGCAGGTTTTGAAGCAAAAATGAAACGAGACAGAAAAGATAATAAAACTTTTTTTCTTTAAACTTTATTCATTCATTCATTTTTATTTTGACGAGAGAGAGAGAGACAAACAGAGAGAGAGAGACAGAGAGAGAGAGAAAGTTGAGAAGGCAAGCCACCAGGTCCCGGACTGGAACCATGGTTGGTCATGTGGGAGCATCCAGCACCTTAACCACTGCTCCACCCTCTGGTCCCAAGAGAAAGCTCTTAAAGGGTGTTTTAGAGTTGTTCCCCTGAAGTCGGACTATAGGTATAAGTGATGTGAGAGATGTCAACCTGAAAGTGTAAATTCAAGTGTGTAAACCGAAAAGTTTATTTGGGCCAAGATTGAGGACTGCAGCTGCTTACAGCCCAAGTGAACATGTTTCATGTAGCTCTGGAGGTGCTCGTTCAGGTTTTTAAGGCAAAACCACAAGTGGGAGGAGGATTAGGAGAGGAGATTATATTAATTGTTTTGGGACAATTATCCTGGACTACCAGGATCAATAAAAAGGGTGGCGACAGTCCAAGGTTGGATAGTCAGTTTCTGGGCAGATGTCCTTGTACGAGTACTCCTGTGTCAGGTTGCAGTGGTGTTTGTGCAGTGTGGTTCTGGCATAGTTCTTTAGGTAGCAGTTCTTGCTATCAGGCATGCTAGTGTGAGAAACACCTCCTTCTTGGCTTTCCTGACTCACTTTTAGTTAGGGGTGACATAAATGTGTCCATTTTGATTCTGAGAAACTTTCACAGAGACTTACCCAAAGAAGAGATGTGCTTAATTCTTCTTTAATATTTGTACTTGGTCACTTAATGAGTTTCATGACTCAGCATTTCAGAGTATCAGCCAATTTTCCATCCTGGTTTTATTTACATCTGAAACTAAGATTACATAAAGTAGTAATGAGATACCTTTTATTTTATTTATTTGAAATTTTTCCAAATAATTATTTTACTTAACCTTATCCATTTGTGTGTTTATTTATTTTTTAATTAGACCAGTGAGGGACAGAGTGTGTGAGAGAGAGAGAAAGTGAGAAAGCAAGCTGCCACCAGGTCTGGGGACTTGAACTGCAGTTAGGCTTGTGTGGGAGTCCAGCGTCCTCAACCACCATGCTACCTGCCAGCCCCAATTTGAGTTTTTTTTTTAAACAGGTAAAAGTGTTAAGGATAACAAAGACCTGACTGAATTGTAGAAAATCAGACCAGAATATTATTTTGGTTAAAGAACATGGGATTACTGGGACCAGCAGTTGGTTTAATGGCTATGTCACTGGACTCTCAAAAACCTTTCAAAAAAAAAAAAAAAAAAGACATACAGGCCCCATGGCTTTGTTCTCAGGGTGCTTTCTGTCAGTGGAGTGTGAAGTTGGATGTCTTTTTTTTTTTTTTTTTGCTATAGGGCACGTGTGCTCCCCAGGAAGACAGAGAGCGAGACAGAAAGACAGAAAGTGAGAAATCATCCCCCCAGGGGGGATGGTCACCCGCAATCCCTTTTCCATTTTCCTCTTGGGATCTTGGGAACGCATGCACATGTGCCCAATGTGAGTTTAAGCCACTGGGTCCGGGACTCGAACCGCGGTCTACTACATGGGATTCCAGCAACATAGCCATTACGCTAACTGCTGGTCCCCGAAGTCGGATGTCTTTAGAAGAGATTTTCAAATGAGCTGAAATGAGATAGATGGTGGGAACAAATACTGTGGTGTCCATCCTGACTACCACTTACTGACTCAGACTTGACAGACTTCTCAGAGTTTAGATTCTCAAAGTCTCAATGACCTCATTTTTAAATTGGACATACTATCTACCCAAAGAATTGTAAAGATTACATAAGAATACTGCTTAAATGCTCTCAACAGCAGGTACTAACTATTTTAATTATGTGGAAGTATAGAAGATGGAGGGAAATACTGGATATGTAGATAAGGAATACTTGATAAAGGTTTTTATTTTTTTTTCCTTTTTTTAAAGAGAGGATCTCCCATGTCTCTATTCTGCTGTCTCAGCCTCCTTAGTAGCTGGGACCACAGGCACGTGCCACCATGCCTGACTTTTTAGGGTGGGTGGGCCAGGAATGGAACCTGGGGCTCCCATATGGCCTCAGCCTGCTGGGTAGTAG